GCTGACCAATATTCCCTGTTCATATGCACTGTCAAATAGCATTATGATCAGTTTGATTGTTATTTTTCAGCATGTATCATTTATTACCAGTTTGTTTCACCAGTTGCTGATTTATTTTGTGAGAATGATAAAAATATCAGCGAGGGGGAATTTGCAATATGTAGCAGAAACCCTGAATTTTGAATGCAACACCAATGTTGCAGGATTTGATATTTTTAGGATAAAGTACTTTACAACAGCATTAATTGAACATACATTTTTCTAAAAAGTTATTTTAAAACAATGCACAAATAGTTTTTTGCATACCAAGAAACCCAAATGTTTAAAAAGGTAGCAAAAATTGTTTACTACTTTTTGGGCTACAATTTGAAAAAATTGTAGACCTATAAATTTGCACTGTCTGTCTGTCTTTCCTTAATCTTGAGAACTGAGTTAGACAAAAGATGAGACCAGATGTGGAAACCTTAGGGGCAGGAGACCCCGATTAACTGTATATGAACTTCTGATGCAAACTGGAAGTTGTTATTTCAATTTAAAAATTTTCCCCTGAAAGGTGTTAAATAGATGACTGGCATGACTGTATTGTTAAAGGAAAATATGATGTACAGGGGCAAGCCACTACTAATTTAGTGGTGAGAATATATTTTAAATTAGATAAATTAAAAATATGACTAAAAATTGCAGCCTGATTTAGCCAGGAAAAATAATTGCTTGTTTTAATATATTTTTGTATATAAAAATGCAACCATATTTGAACTTTTAAAGTCATTATAAAGTAACAAATCTTAATACATTGAAATATATCTATGAAAAAAATATGAAAAGGTCTGGTTTAGCTGTTATATATTTATAATAGTTAGATTAGAACAAACATTTTTATATAATGATGGTAAAACTTACATTTAGCTATTTTATCAAGATAATTTAGAAAAATTTTTACGTACAGATCATTTCTGTGCAATTTTTCATGTAAGAGAAATGAATGAAAATTTTGTTTTATTTCAATCTAACAAGAAATTCTAACAATCAAATATTGTTGAAAACAATTCTGAAATACAAACAGGGCATTTGGTTTTTTTAAAGCTTTGTTTTTATACAATCTGAAATTTTGATTGATAATCAAAACTGTCTAATCCTAATAAATATCTTGCATCGTGTCTGCTGGTGAGCCAGACAATTTGGCACTCATTTTCTTTGCTAAAGGAAGTATTGAGGAAGTCTAATTAGTAATGTTAGGCATTTGAGGGCAAAAAAGACAGGCAAAATGGTTCAGTAAATTTAACACGTTAACGGCTTTACAAGGCACATGTGACTTGTGCAGACATGTCTAGTTAGGATGACAGACATAATTGTTCGTTTTCCCATGGGGTGGCACATATATTTTGATAACTAATAATCCTACAGGCATAATACTTGATATATCGATATTATTTTATTAGGTCCAATAAAATATATTAATTTAATAGTGTTAAGTTCAATTGTAACATGTGTCAGGTGTGTGGATGTTTTCAAGTGTTGATGGACAGTCCACAGATCTGTCACACGTGTCAGGTGGGTGATGTAATAGTATCCCTAAAAATTCGGGGTGAGATTGTCCCACCTAGAGAGGGAGAAATTGTGAGAAAGGGAAAATTTGTGCGCTTCCCTTTGTGTGGGTTGAGTCAGTGTTGTGTGTGGAGGCAGTACTGACCAGTATGCTACCAGAGTGGGTAACTGTGTGGCTGGTCAAGAACCAGTGTTGTAATTATCAAGTAATTGTCGGGTGCCTGAGTGTTGCTCAATTGTGGAGTGCCAGAGTGTTACTCGCTTATTTGAGACAGTAAAGTTTAATTGTGTTGTTATTGTTGTAAAGGAACTGTGTACTGTTTTTTAAGACCGTGTAAACGGGAACATTTTACACCATCATCATCATTTTTATACAACAAATAGTACAAGGCATGGGTAACTCATGTAGCCCTAATTTAGTTAAAGATTACTTTTGGACAGTACAAGTCACATATGTCTCGTGTCTGCAATCTGGGGTTTTAGTGCAAACACATTATTTTTATTGTTCTTGCATTCTTAAAAGTTCTTTGTTCACATAACTCTTAGTGAATTATAACTCAATATAATTATAGTCACTTCTCGACTTACGACAGGGTTCGGTTCTGCAACTTTGGACGTAAGTCAAATTTCATACAAAAATAAATAATATAATTGTAATAGACAATGTAAAATAAAGTAGAATTTCCAATTTACACTGTGAGTAACTACTTATAACAAAACAATTAGCCACCTTACACAAACACACACGAAGGGTAACTAACTGCACAACAAAACTAAAGATGACAATTGATTGCAGAAGCGCACAATCAATTGCTAGAAGCATGCAAGGTGTATATGTTATATATTTGACAAAAACTATAAAAAATTTATACATTTTTAAAATTTCTTTATGAAATTTTTTCATTGTAAGTGCAAATGGTCATAAGTCAAGGTTGTTGTAACTCAAGAAGTTATTGTAATATTAAAACATGAAAATTAGTATACAGCCTTTAAATTTTTTTAGTTTTTTATTTTTGCATTCTATTTGCAATGCTATCTTTTGTAATTGAATGCTAAAAGTTTTTACTTTACAAAATTGAAGCATCAGTTTTGATTTCCCATGGGAGCTGTATGAATCACATTTGCCTCAGGCTATAACAGAGGAATAGAGATTATAGTGTCTTATATTAAATATATTAATGATTTTATCTTATGTCCAATGACCAGCCATATAGAATGCATTAATGAATTGAAGTCGCATAAGTCACCTGTGCCTCGTACAGCCCTGTATTGAAATAGACTACAAGTCACAGGTGACTCATAATGCCCAGCAGCTGCCTAAAAGTTTATCTACTGACATTGTTAACGTGTTAAGAAGGGGCAAATTGGTATAAATATTATGATGCTTGCCTCATAAGTCACTCATTATTAATTTAGTAGTAATAACTTATGATCATTGTGATAGTTTCATATGCAACTAAATTTTTTTCAATTTTTTACATTACAAAGTGTACAATTTTTTTATGTGGTATGTTTTTATTTATTAAAAATAATTTCAAAAAATGAATTTACACTAACCAAACTACTTATCTTCATCACTTGAGTCTGGCATTCTGGGGTGGAGGTTAGGTGGGTAAGGACCCTCAAACATTAGTGTGAAGCTTTTGGATACATCTAATTTTAAATTACATTTTCTGATCTTTAGTGTTGCAACGAATACCGAATATTCGGCTAAACTATTCGGCTTGATTAACACACGTACGAAAATTGGCGTGCAAATTGCATTATGGCAAGGACCCTGTTCTCTATTGGCCCGCTGTCACTACGCTTCACCAATTGCGTTAATTTTTGACAGTTGTAGCAGACAGACGTCATGCAGTATGTTGGAAAGGTACAATGGGATGGTTTGATGTTCAAGTCTCCTGATTACTAGCTCACATAAATCCCCCGAAAGCGTGGTGTCCCCGTGGGAAGCCCTCTTATATCATCAACGTCCTCCTGTACAGGAGGTATGTTGTTGATATTTTTATCATATGGAAAACAGAACCCAACATCAACCAGTTCATTAACTCAATGAACAATAACCCTTATGGCCTAAACATCAAATTGGACCAAAAAAGCAACACTTCTGCACATTTTCTCGACTTGGACCTTCAAATTAAGGATAATGGAATCACATCCAAGGTCTTTTACAAAAAGTGCTATGTACCACTGTTCATCCCAGCTAACTCGGAGGATCCTTACTCTTACAAGATCGTGGCTTTTCAGGCCTTAACTAAGCGGGCGTCCACGTACCACTTTAATTATGAAAACACCATAGCTGAGCTAAGACACATTCAGGAAATGGCCACACAGCATGGGTATAAAAAGAACTTAATATACAATATCGCTCGTGCTTACACACAGGCGAATGCACATGACACTACCAATGTCCCTGGGGGGTCTTTGGATAACAACCATGCAAGAAAAATCATAGGGTACAACCACCATCTTGATACAATATACAGAGAAATTTCATCCATCACTAAAACTAAGATAACTTACAGTAGGCCAAGATCGGTTTACAACGTACTCTGCAACGTAAAAGACACAATTGACTTGAAACACGCACCAGGGGTATATGCTGTCCTGCTTTGGGATGATAAATTTAATAGCCGTTTGGTTTATGTGGGCTCAACCAAATGCTCCCTTCATAAACGGCTTTGTGAGCACAAATACAACATTGACAATAAAAAACACACCACTGCCCTCTCAACTGTTGCCACGGAACCAGGAATCACAGATGACCTACAAAATGCCTGTCTGATCAGGCTCTCACAGCGTACAGATCAGCTCAGAACCAAGGAGACTCTCAAAATATATAAAACAGGATTACATAACACATGCATCAACTCTAGGGATGCAGTCAGTATATCTAACGCATGGAAATTTTGTTATGAGGGAACCCATCCCCACAACTGATTTTGAATTGTGTATATTTCACCTGCATTCACCGTTTCGCAAACACGATGTTACATGTGCTTAACCGTCATTTCAGCACGAGCGTAATGTTCTATTTTTATTCTTAACTTTGCTTTTCTAAATTCTGAATCGCATTCGTTTTGTTTTATTGTTCCATTCCACACGCATTCGAATTCCTCATAACTGTAGCCTGATGAAGACTTGGATGGGGTCAAAAATGTTTGCTGTTTTGTAAACACGTATCACTGGAGTTACAAAGGTTTTTTGTGTGATGAATTATATTTCCTCCAGCATTTGCTAAGAGGTTCATTTGTCTCATATTACTGTTTAAATAAATTTTACACACACATAAATTATGTTAATTTTCTTTAAAAGTATCTAATTTTAATATTGTAAGAAACAAATGTGGTAAATATAAAATTTTGTAAATAGAACAATATTGTTGAATATGAATTATCATCAAATGTCGTGTATTTTCTGAATGTTTTCTAATGAAATATGTTGTTATTTTTCAGATATGTTGATGAAAATAGGGTTCCAATTTCATCTCCTTTCTCCAGAGAATTTATGGAAATAATGGAGACAATATTAAAAAGTCCTTATTACACTCCAGATCCACAAAAGGCTTGCTTATTTGTTCCATCTCTTGATCTCTTAAATCAGAATAATGTTAGATTAAAAGAAATGTCCCAAGTATTAGCTTCTCTACCTTTGTAAGTTGTTATAAAATTAAACAATATTATAAATAAGTGTAATTACTATTAATTATTAGCAGGGCATTTTTAAAAAAAGATTTGAACAATAGGTTAAGATATTTTGTTTGAGTATAAATTTATTATAGCTGGAGATGTTTATAAAAAAAATTTTATGATATGTAATTTTAAAATTTATAATAAATTTATGGGTATGTTCATAAAGTCGAACGAGTTAAACGAGAATAACAACATTGTTATTCTTATTTTGCTAGACTTTTCAAATGATTCATTTATAACTAAATGGCTGTTTCTTAAATCGAAGATGTGAATGTTGCTAGTGCAGCCTTATCCGAAATATTTTTCTTAGATTGCTTTGGGTGGACAGTTATTTCTATCATTTCACCTTTTAATTCACAGTTTAAACACACGAGTAGATTTAGAAACATCAATATTGTTGGCCAACATTTTCTTAACGAAGTGAACTAACTCTTTCCTTCGTGAACTTTGTTAGAGTTTCATTCGAAACGTCATCACCGCAGAGCATGTGCACTGAATGAGACTATTACTTTTAGAATGATTCGTTACTAACGCATTTAAATCATTTGACTTTACAAACATACCCTATAATCTAAGTCAGGGGTCACCAAACTTTTTTCACAATGGGCCAGATAACTGAGAGAATGACAAGGGCAGACCACATAACCATTTTGTTCAATACAGTACACAGAATACACAAAAATTAAAGAGAACCAACTTATTTATTTACCAATACACACACAATCACTGCAGCAACCTTGTAATTGCTTTTCTTAGAAACTTCATTGTAGGTACTTACACAAAAGCACTCTGATATCCAAAGTTGCAAGTTGCTGAATTTTTTATTTCACTGATTTTCCTAAAAATTATATTACTGTTAGATACAAAAATTAGATTGAACCAATTTTTGGCATTTTTATTTACACTTATTTTAATTTTTCTACATAGCAAGTTTATCTACAATCTATGATATTTCCATATAAATAATTATATTTTAGCTCATTTGTGGCACAGTGTAGCAATGGGCCAGATCAGGCCCACTGGCCTTAGTTTGGTGACCCCTGATCTAAGTCATGTCTTTAGAAGATTCAGTGTCTTTTTATACTTTCTTTACTCATTGCTGAGTGAAGACCAAAAATCAACCAAGATTCAAGAAATTGGTGAATCAAATTGACATTGAGAGTTCAAAAATTAAATATTTTGATGAAATCTGTTCAAAAATTTTTAATGTTTTTAAAAAAACTTAAAAATTTTAAATGATTTGACTGAAAAAATATATACAGTATATATATGTATACTGTATAATCTTATAGGTGGTGATAAAAGTCNTTTATGGGTACGTTCGTAAAGTCGAACGAGTTAAACGAGAATAACAACATTGTTATTCTTATTTTGTTAGACTTTTCAAATGATTCGTTTATAACTAAATGGCTGTTTCTAAAATCGAAGATGTGAATGTTGCTAGTGCAGCCTTATCCGAAATATTTTTCTTAGATTGCTTCGAGTGGACAGTTATTTCTATCATTTCACCTTTTAATTCGCAGTTTAAACACTCGAGTAGATTTAGAAACATCAGTATTGTTGGCCAACATTTTCTTAACGAAGTGAACTAACTCTTTCCTTTGTGAACTTTGTTAGAGTTTCATTCGAAACATCATCACCGCAGAGCATGCGCACTGAACGAGACTATTACTTTTAGAATGATTCATTACTAACGCATTTAACTCGTTTGATTTATGAACATACCCTATAATCTAAGTCAGGGGTCACCAAACTTTTTTCACAACGGACCAGATAACTGAGAGAATGACAAGGGCAGATCACATAACCATTTTGTTCAATACAGTACACAGAATACACAAAAATTAAAGAGAACCAACTTATTTATTTACCAATACACACACAATCACTGCAGCAACCTTGTAATTGCTTTTCTTAGAAACTTCATTGTAGGTACTTACACAAAAGCACTCTGATATCCAAAGTTGCAAGTTGCTGAATTTTTTATTTCACTGATTTTCCTAAAAATTATATTACTGTAAGATACAAAAATTAGATTGAACCAATTTTTGGCATTTTTATTTACACTTATTTTAATTTTTCTATGTAGTAAGTTTATCTACAATCTATGATATTTCCATATAAATAATTATATTTTAGCTCATTTGTGGCACAGTGTAGCAATGGGCCAGATCAGGCCCACTGGCCTTAGTTTGGTGACCCCTGATCTAAGTCATGTCTTTAGAAGATTCAGTGTCTTTTTATACTTTCTTTACTCATTGCTGAGTGAAGACCAAAAATCAACCAAGATTCAAGAAATTGGTGAATCAAATTGACATTGAGAGTTCAAAAATTAAATATTTTGATGAAATCTGTTCAAAAATTTTTAATGTTTTTAAAAAAACTTAAAAATTTTAAATGATTTGACTGAAAATATATACAGTATGTATATGTATACTGTATAATCTTATAGGTGGTGATAAAAGTCTCCCCAGTCAATTGTTTTGAAAACAGATTGGGCAATAGTTGTGACACCACAGTGATTACACTGTTTGTTGTGAAAATAACAAATGGAATCTCAGAAAAGACTTTAACATATTCAGTACCAGTCATATGTGGGATTATCCTAAGGTTCAAAATTTCTGTATGCTTGAAATTCTGTATCTTTTGTAAATTTAATATTTTTTAACCTTGTGTATCTCATCCTAAATATTATATTGAAAAATATTATGATTTTCTTATTTTTGGAGATTTTGTCATAACTATCAGATTCACTTCAGTTGCTTTAAGATAGTTCACATGCAAATTACAATACAATACACAATAGTCATGACTGTTGTATAAAATGTGAAAAGAATATTAACAATGAAAATAATACAAATTGAAGACTAAATACAAATAAACACTTCCATCCTTTTCAACCACAGCAAATTTTATTACTTTCCTGCTGTCATATATAACAGAGGGAAAGTATGGCAATCAGTCAAAAAATGACTCCCCAAGAATTTTACATTTTGGACTTAGGACATCTTGAAATTCCGAGAAATGCAAAAAATTTGGGGTAATTTCTATGTATGGATATTAGTGTATGTATGGAGGGCACGATTTTGTTCACTCTCTTTGAAGCTTAATAACTCCTGTGCTTTTTGTTGAAAATTTCTAAAATTTTGTAGGGAGGTTAGTTTATTAGGGAGATTGATGATATTAAATTTTGGTGGTTGAATGTTGAGCAAGTGGAGAGATAATGGAGGTCATGTGTATCTCCAGTAGTGTCAGATTTAATGACAGTTTTACTTGTTATTAGCATTTATAATTTTTTATAAAATTTATCCTTATTCTCAAAATTAAGCTTTTTGTCATTTTATAATAGTTAAAAATCAACTTCAAAGATGGTGAAATAAATGCGCAGGCGTGGAGGTATTTGTTCGAGGAATTTGAACAGGGACAGTTGGAGGGGTGAAACCCGGCATGCACAATTGTTTACATCTCTGGCAACATCGTTACGATTGTCAGGAGGAAACACCTGCAGCAGACCTCGGTGGAAGTCGAAAGCGTTTGTGGAGTTTACTACGGACATAACACTTTTAAAAAAAGGTTTTGTGGATTGTTGTTATAAAAAGTGTTTCAATAAAATGTGATAACAGATGGTGATATCAAATGTTGCTGGAAAAGTAAAATAACTTGTTGCTGGATTTTTTTATACAGTCTTCAATTTGTACTATTTTTAACTTTCCTTGCATTATGATAGCCTGTTCATTCATACANTTCTCAAGGGGGACATTTTCTGCAATGAAGTTTTTGCGATTCTGAATACAACAGACAACAAAATTTTTAAAAACTTATTCATTTTTTATTAACTAAACAAACATTTATTTCAAATAAAGTAACACAAACTATTAAAAAACATAAAAAAAACCTTTTAAGCTAAAGCTCTCCAAGACGTCCGCAGATGGCGTGATGTCTTTTAACCAATGAGCGGTCGAGTCTTCAGATGTTGTCCGAGTAGCGTTCCTATGGCGACCAACATCGTCTGTCGAACGACTAAAAGTCTAGCTTAAAAGGTTTTTTTTTATGTTTTTTAATAGTTTGTGTTACTTTATTTGAAATAAATGTTTGTTTAGTTAATAAAAAATGAATAAGTTTTTAAAAATTTTGTTGTCAGTTGTATTCAGAATCGCAAAAACTTCATTGCAGAAGATGTCCCCCTTGAGAATAAAATCGACCTGTCCGAGCGATTTGCCTGGACGAACGCGATATCTCTGTCGTTTTGTTTTCATTGGGACACCCTGTATATAAGAATAACAATAACACAATGTGTCAACATATTACTATGCACATAACTGCAATATTTCACTTGCAAGAGGAACCTGGCAGTCATTATCAATTTCAATGAAATTTTGTGCATATGTAGTATTTACTTGTACTTAAACTTTACCAAAGCCACAGGAACCACTATACAGGCATTCTTGAGAAAAAGTTTTCTACAATCATTAATACCAATATGGAAGACTGATTCATGAAGTAGCAGCATGGCATGGTTAGTTAAGCGTCACATGTGGAGCTTCCCTTTTTGAGTTTGATCCCCGTATGCAGTTGTTTTTTT